CCCGGCATGGCAACTGCAGCTCGCTGGGACCGGCCCCGATGTTACCGACGGCGGGAAGCAAGCTGGCCTGGAGCCTCGCTGAGCGGCTGAGCCCGGCCCCCTGCTCCCCTGCGTGGTGACGGGGCGGTACTTGGCAGGAGCCCCAAGGCCATGCGCTGCTTGGAGACCGGGGCTGGGCAACCGGGGTTTCCAGGTACCAGCCCAGCACCCGCGGGTTCAGATGGGGAGGGAGCAGTCCCTTTCCCTTGTGTCCACCGGGGCCACGCGCTGCCAGGGGAGATGCAGATCTCTCTGGCAGCGGCAGGTGTGTTCAGCGCAGGCCTGGGGCTCTCTGCACACCCCTGCGCGTTTGACTGCTGGTCTGTCCTGCTCTGGGTGGGCACGGGGCCAGGGCTGCATACTGAACTGCAGCATTCGGCATCAGGAGCAGTGAGGCATGACCCCCATGTCCTCCCTCGGCACCTCCTAATGCCTCTCTCGCGGTCTCCCCTCCAGGCAGCACCAACCCCCAGTTCCATGGCTGGGGGATGGCGGGGGCAGTGCTAGCAGGGGAAGGTGCAGGCGGTCGCCCCTCTGTCCAGGTCCTCCCACGACCCCATTTCTCAGACCCTAAACTCTCTGGGGCAAAGCCTGCGGCTTGCTTTGCACTGTCCCCTCTTCAGCTGATGTGTCCCTATGACTCTTCCCTTATCCCCGAGCTGGGCTGAGACAGCCGGACGATCTCCAGCCCCAGAGCAGAGACGAGATCCAGCCCCTGGTGCTGGAGAAGATGCCCCCCCCACCCTCCTGCTGGGGAAACAGCCTAAGAGCCACCTCCATGGCCACCGCTCCTTGCAGGGACTCCCTGGGGCCCCTGACTGCTGTTCCCCTCCTGCGGCCCAGGCTTCCCCTTCCCACGCCCCCCCCCTTCCATTCAGAGTGATGGGCGGGCAACTCATTAACCTGCCTGCTGAGCAGGTGAGACCCCCCCCCCAACTCCCCTAGGGCCCAGGACAGCTGCTTGATGCCGAATGGAGTCTGTGCTTCCCCGAGAGAGTTGCCAGCCCTGGCTGCCAACAGGGACGGGGCCTGCGCCCGGTCTCTGCCCACTCAATGCAGTGCATGCAGGTGAATTGTTTCCAGGAACCCAGAAAATAACTGCAGGGGCCCCAGCCTGGGAGAGAGGTAGCAGCTGGCCACACGAGGGTGCAGGGCATAAGCCCCGGCGCCTCGAGCTGGCAGCAGCGTCAGGCTCAGCGGGCAGAGAGCTGGCCCTTCGCTCACGTCCCAGCAGCACCCAGCCAATCAGAGCGAGCCGGAGGCCACGCACCCCTTGCGTCAGAGCCGGCGATGACGTCCCATACCAAAAGGCGCATTCCTCAGCGGCTGCTGAGCTTGGGAGCTGAAGCAAGGTGAGAAATCCCAAGTTGGGTAACACTGGAAAGGGCTGCCTGGTGACACCTTTCACCCACGCACATGTGAAAGGCCGGCCTGGTGGGAGCGGGTTTGAGACAGGATGCAGCGGCGGGCGCTGATGGGCCAGAGACCCACGAGCTGGGCGTCTAGCAGGGCCTGCGTCGGAGCAAACATTCAAACACAAGTCACTGCCTTGCCCCCCCACCTCAGGGCCAGGGGCAGACACACCTCCACAGTCATGAGGCCCCAGCCCTCTGACAAGGCTCAGTGCAGGCATGAAACAAAGGCAGCATGGAAAGAATGCGAAACTCGCCTTTGAGGCGGCCGCTAGCCCAGGGACTTCCTGGCTGACATGCCCTGGTGCAGGAGGCTGGAGCCAGCCAATCCAGGCGTTACATGGCAAACCCGGCCTGAAGGGGCACTAAGGGGAACAGAAGGGAGTTTTGTGGGCAGGAGGGGAGGGGGGGAGGCTCGGAGATTGGGATCTCAGCTAATGTAGGAGCAGAGGTTTTCAAAGTCTTCCTGCTGCCGGGGAGTGAGGGGAGAACCAGGCTGAGTCCACCCCGTCTGCAGTTCTCTGACGGGGGCAGCACCGCGTGGGCTGCTCCCTGAGCCGTAGCCGGCCCTGGCTGGATTCACTCGCTGGGCGCAGTAGAGATATGGCCTAACCCTGGCTTTAAACCGCTGGGGCTACACCAAGGAGCGAGTGCCGTGGGAGAGAACCAGCAAGGGTTTGGCTCCCCTAGGAGCCCCAGGAGTTTCAGGCCCAGCTGCTCCGACACGAGGCCTTTAGGCCAAGGGCCACCCCAGGGAGCCGGCCACTCCTGAACAGGGGGTGGAGCTGCTCCATTTTGTCCCAACCCCCTTTCAGGAGGTGATACCCAAATAAGCTTCTCCCACCTTTCTTGGGGAGGGGGTTTGCTGCCCCCTCTGCTCTGCGAGCCTCACTCCCAGGCAGTTCAGAGCAAAGGGCCCATAGCTGCACCCCAACTAAGGGACTCGTTAATCCAGAGAGGGCACCAAACCTTCGCCCGGCTGGTATGCAGCTGCTCACTTCTCTGCACTCTGGCAAAACAACACCCCCGTCCCCCGGTCACTGACTACTGCACTGTTAGCCTCCATTTCTTACCCCCATTAAATGCGATCTGGGGGAGAGAGACTCTGCAGACCTGGCGTTCCAGTTCCAGCTCTGGGCGGAGGGGAAGGGCACTGATCTCTGTGCGCTCACGTTTCTGAAACGCCGTGGGATCAAGGGCTGGAAAGCGTTCCCTAGTATTATTGACATGCACACAGAATCAGGCGGACTTTGAGAAACTAATACAAAGTGATCCTTGTAGCTGGTCCCCTCGGAGGCTTATGCGGGGGATAGGCCGGACTGCCATGCCTTCCGGAGGGGACAGAGCCCAGGAGACAGGCAGCGGCGAGCAAATGAAAATGAGCATCTTTAAACACACTTCGTACGAACTGAAAGTGCCTCGAAACAGCAGTGGCCACAGCAGAGAGCTATTTAGCAGCCATTTCATGTCACAAAGCCGGGGTCCACCCTTACCGGGCCTTTCCCTTGGGAATCTCAAGCCCGGACAGTCATCCACCTTGTGCTGCCAGCATGCTCCATTTTGCAAAGAGCGGACGGGTTTTGTACTTAGCCCTTTTTCAAGCAGCAGGTTCACGCCCTCTAAATAACTGGCCCTTGGACAGGTCACTGCTGACCCAAGCCAGACTGCTTCTGTCCCCAGGAGACGGCAAGGTTTCAGCAGCGAATGTCTGTGAGAAATATGCACTCCCTGCCCTAGGTTAGGAAAGTCAAGGTAGAGCAATGCTACTGGAAGTTTAAGAATGTGGCAGTTGCTATGGGGAAGAGGTCATTGGTCCAGCGAGCCCAGCCTCCCAGCGATGGCTGAAGATACAGGGAAAAGTGCAGCCCTATGCCTTTAACACCCGTCACCACCAGCTTCGGGAACATGCTCCCACCCTGTGGCACTACCAGCCAAGATACCCAAGCAGCAAATCAGGCCTTTCCTTTTTGGCAAGGTCCACTTTTTTTTGGCCTTCAAACACCAAGGCAAAAATCTTTTTATCTGGCAGTGAATGAAACGACTCTAAGAGCAGCCAGTCAAACCCGAACTGCCAGCAGATTTTGGGAAGAGCCACTTGGGCAGTGCCCATCTCCTCAGTCCAACGTAGCCCGAGTGGCATCCCCAGACTCTCTAGCGTAGGGCTAGGGAAGGCTGGAAAACCAGGAGTTGATTCCAGAAGGCTGGTGTCTCCTCCCATCCCTCCGCTATGACTATACTAGTTATTGTCACTAGTAAGAGTGCTGTGCGTCAGCTGAAAGTGGCAGACGTGCAGGAGTCTCTCGCTTCCCAGCTGAAGGGCTATCCAGCGATTGAAATATTGCTCCGGCCTGTGTTCTTTTGGGAGCTTCTGCTAAGCTCGGAGTTTCATCTCATGATGAAACCTAGGTATCGCTGTACTAGGGCCTTGGATTTAAAGGCCCCTCACCCTTTGACTTGTCATTAGATCACAGCTCATCACCAGGGAGCCTAGTTTTCTGAGAATACAAAATTCTCCCATAAAAAAGCCATAAAACCCCATGTTTTCCCAGAATTAAAATGAAACACTGAACTTTTATAGAGAGGTATCAGTTCAATACCTTTTTATTGACGGTTATTGGAGCCTCCATTATCCGGCTCTCTGTATTAACTGAACCACCAACCACCTGGGGCTGACAGTGGCAGGCCTCGGGCAGTCAGCCCCACCCCTGTCAGAGCCGGTGGTTTGGTTAATACGGAGAGACTCATAATGGAAGCGCGGATAAATGGGGTTCTAGGGTATGTTTTTTCATAAAATGTAAAAATAAAAAATTCTCTGTAAAAACGCAAATTCTGCCTTTTTCGTCGGCAAATGCATTTCTAGAATCCCTGTTCATCACTAGAAGTAGTGGTGGCTTCTCCCTCGTCTGACATCCTTCACCCCTTATTTGATTGTGCAGCAAACACTGATGATGCTAAGTTTGTGACATCAAATTAGCTCTCAAAGTAGTACAGCAGGGTCAGGAGAGGAAGCACAATCTGGTGGTTAAAGGACCGGCCAAAGCACCATGAGTTCTGGGATCCACTCAAAGCTCTACCCCTGATTTGCTGTGTGAACTTGAGGATGTCACTTAGTGCCCGTGCCTCAGTTTCCCCATCTGAAAAATGGGGATAGTGCTACCTTCCTGATGGGAGTTCTGCAAAGGTTAAACAATACAGCTGATCTTCAATGGAAGTTCTGGCTGGAGCCCAACATTTATAAGGCACTACGAGCCTCCAGAAACAGTTCTGGAGCACAAGCGGTGCCACCACTAGGACGTTAACGCTGACATTAAGCAACAGCCCAGCCATGACAGGAGCTCACATTCAGACAAACCGTAGAAGCGGCAATGCCAGCGCTGGAAGATTAAATAGCTCTGTCACTTGACCGCACTAGACTACGCGGGGACGTCAACCTGGCTGAAGAGCTGACAGACAGAGGGAAGAAATACCCAAAGAGACGAGGGCAGGTGTCCAGAGACCACGGTGAGGGGTCCACCCTGGGATCGTTAAGAGAACAAACTAGAAAGGAAGAACTGTTTATCAAAATACTTTATTTCAGGGAGACCCCTCAAAAAAAGACCCTCCTCAGACAGACATCCCAACAATACCTTTGCTTTTTTTTTTCTGTTTTTTTTTAAATCAACTAAAACAATCTGATGCTTAAAATAAAAGACAGGTCATAGTTCCCAATCAGACTTTAGTCAAGAATATATATATATTTTTTTGTTTTGTTCCTGGGGGAGGGAGGGGCAGGGGAGAGAAGATGATGTTGCCAGTAGTTCACAGCGGTTTTCGGTTCTCTCATTACACAGTATATAGAACTGCATTGCTGAAGACACTCAACACACAGCAAGGCTAACTAGAAGAATACAACTTATGGCTAGCAAAGAGGGGAGGGACGGGCAGAGAGAGAAAGTGAAAGTATCCGACAGGGCTGGAATTTGGAGTCCTCTGTGCATAATTTACAGGGAAAACGAGGTGGTGTGGGCCTCCATCTTGGTGCCGGCTCGGTCTGTGTTGCATGGCTGATGCAGAGAGGGGATTATTCCCCGACTCTCCACCATACGGGTTAGGAGCCAGAGTGAGTCATCTCGTCTGTGGGATTTTTCAGCTGACTAAACTTTTTTTTTTTTTTTAATTTTTTAAAAAGAATTGCAGCCAAAATCAGACAGAACTGCAAAATCCAGCGTGGCCGCTTGTATACTATTTATAAAAACATAGAAGAGTCTTGAATCCAGGTGGAGACAGAGCTCTGCACACATTGGACTATACTTTCCCAGGGATTTTGGCCCGTTTACGAGCAATGGCGTCTTCCACGGCTTTCAGCTGCTTCAGGAGCTCCTCCCGCCGCGACAGCGTGCTGGACTTGCCCGATTTCGCACTTGCAGCGGTTGGGCCTGGCTCCGTTGCTTTGCCTGGTACACTTGTGACTTTGCTGGAGCTCTTGGACTGGGGCGACAGCTGGCGCTTCCTATAGGGTGGGGGAGAAAAAGCCAGAATGGGGTAAGAGGGGATTGATGGGTAACAGAGGGGGCTCCCCCCTCCTGCGTGGGCAGCTCTGAGATCAAGTGGTTTTCGAACAGCAGCAGGGGTTAAATAGCAGGGCACATTTTCCCAGGGATGCAGGAACATTAATGAAGCAATCAGGTTTTCGCTGGAGGAAGTTGCTGCATTGCTTTAAAGGCTGGCTGAAATGAATGAGTTTCAAGTGCCAAGCCAGCCGAAAAATACCTGAGGAACGGTGGAGTTTAAACCCACCACCCTCATGACTTTTCCTGCAGGAGCAACCCAGAGGCCTAGGTCAGCACTCCAGACACACAGGAAGACATGGTCCCTCCCACAAGGAGTTTACAAGCTGCTTTGAGATAAGAGCCAACAAATGACTGTACCAAACAAAAGGGGGGGGGGGGAACCACATGGTTAAATACTGCACAGCTTGATGGCTCCAAAGAATCCCCATGCTGAATGAACTCGGCTGCCCCACCTAACCATCCACACTGCCTGGCTTTTTCCAGGGACTGGCAGAGGTGGAGTTCAAAGAGGCGAGTCACACTCTTTACGGATGCACTCCACCTCCCTCCCTGCTCCCACCTACTCGGGGCCACAAAAATCCAGAGGAAACCCCCTGCCATTAGGTAAGGCAGTGATGACAGACAGAAGCCAGGAAATGCAGTCACCCGTCTCACGCCCCCCCCTTGCAGGGACTGCAGAACAGTGTCTATAGTCCTCGGAATTGCACAACGTGCACATGACTGCAGTGCCCAAGCTCAGCGGGTCACACGCCAAGGGTGCAATTTGAGCCTCACCTCCCTTTCTGGCAGCTGTCACGTGGGGTCACACTCGTGCCACTTTGTGTAGCTGCTTCTGGCAATCTGACAGCAGCATGTCACATGAGCGGTGAGACTCAATCGCCCAGGTTACAGAGACAGCCTGGTAATCCTTCTCCTTAAACCGAGCAACTCCTCACTTGAAGCCCTTTGATATTAATCCCTGAGTAAGAGGCAGGCTTTTCAAATCTCAAACCCAAGTTCTGGGAGAGCTCTGCCTGACTGTCCTTTACTCCCTGGCCAGGCCCCGAGCTCAGGTTCTTGTGATTTCCTGGCCCAGCTGATAGTGTTACCAACCCATCAAACAAGAGCAGGTGGCAGAGGGTTAGGAGCTAGCGATGCCAGCTCCAGACGAAGCAGGTACCAATGCTCAGCTTCGCCGTTACAGCTTCGAAATAGAACCTCCTGGCCACAGCAGTCGCCGGTTAAGGAGGAAGGCTGGACTGGTGGTTAATGCGCAGGACTGAGCAGTGAGAGACCTGGGTTTATTTCAGGCTCTGTCCCACTTGGCAAGCTTCGATTTCTCTGTGCCTCGGTGTCCCGATCGGCAAAGACCCCACGGCCCAGGAAGGCCAGGCGTGGGACAAGGCTGGCTGAATGTCCGCAGAGATCTCTGAGGGAAGTGCTAGAGGAACGCAAAGCAGTGTTACCTGGCTCCTGCCAGCATCGAGTTGGACAGAGGCCCTCTCAGCTGTACCAGGAACAGCACTCCCTATTTCGCTGAGCAAGGCGTGGTCCTTGCTCACTAAGGCAATGAGCCCCCTGGCACGGCATCTCGGGTTCTGCTCTGCACTGTTTCAGTTGAGAGAATCCAGGAAGGAGAACAAGCTGGCCCCAGAGCCCAGGGGCTGGACAGGTGTAGACGGAATCGGGGTCATTCACTAACTCCAACCAGAAGCCACATCTTGGCAGCCTACTCTGTTCTTTAAGTGTCTCAGCTTGTGCAAGATTAGCCAAGAGCCATGGACTGGTGCACACTGGCCAGGAAAGACGAGAGGTCACACGCAGCACCTGTAGCTAGGATTGACCCCACAATGGGACAGCTGACGCAGGGAGCCCACTGGCTTCCACGCAATCTGACTCTGCCCCGCAAACTCCACCGGCCGCAGTTCACACTGAAGTAGTTGTATAGAGTTAAGATCGTCACTGCTAGAACTTTGCATTTCCAGAGCACCTTTTATCCAAGGATCTCAATGTGCACTACAAATAGCTTCCTTGAGAGGTCCGAATTAAACCCATTTCAGAGGCAGGGAAACTGAGCCACAGGGGTGAAGCAACTGGTGTCAGGGCAGTAGCAGAGAATTCATTGCTTGTCAGTACTACCGTAAGCCACTCTATCGTCCAATTACATCCCCATCCTCCCAGTTTTCTTTAACAGACCATGAGTGAGGCTCTTGCTTCTCTCTATGGTGAGACTGCTAGAGAAGGGAAAGCGAGGTCTCCCTCCATAGGTCTGAGGCCAAACAGCTCTTTCCCTAGCCAACAAGCCAAGGCTTTTGCTCTTCTGCAAACCATGCTGGCCAAGAGATAACAAGTCACAGGTGGGAGCTGATGGCAGGATACACACTGACCTGTCTGTCTGAGCAGGAGATGGTTTAGGGTTCTGGCCTCTCTGCCGATCTTGTTTGGGTGAAGAGATTCTCCCAGCAGGTTTCCTATCGCGAGGACCTATTGCAGAATGTAAAGACAAAAGGTTTTAGCCCTCGCATGACCCATGGAGTGTTACCAGATCGCACAGCACCGCTTCGCCATTTTAAACAGAGCCTTTCCCTAGACGGGCTAGGCTGCATCAGGGAACGGAACGGTCCAGCTGCAACTCCCTCAGCTCTGCAAAGAGACACGGCACTTGTGAGGAAGAAGAGTAACCTAGGAGCGTGTGATGCACAAAGCTTTGCCCTCTCGCCCTCCACCGGGAACTGCAGCGAGCCCTATGCCCTGTGCCTTCCAGACTGAGATCCTTCCATTGGCTCGCAAGCCCCCGGGACAGCTTTATGTTTGCCTGGGAACAGCATGCATGCCTGCAGTGCTATACACAAATGAATCGTGAGGAGAGGTGAAGCAACACAGTTTTGTTGTACTCAGGCAGTATGTCCGGTGCATTCTCCTTCGCGGGCAGTCAGGCACTGGGAGGGTTAGAACAGCAGTGCTTATTAGCCTGGCATTCCCACGTCCATCCAGCAATCCAAGAACTAGGCTACAACGGCTCTCTTTGCTTCACAGCTGGCTGAAGGCATGAATATCTGCTCTAGCTGCACTGTCTCACTGAGTCCTAGTGATCTTAAACCTAGCCGAATCCTCCAAGCCACTTTCCAGCAGTGGGATGGGACAGGGTTATTAGCACTCGAAGGATTTTTGCTGGCTCCAAGCCACAGTCAATGTAATACGCCTATGGTGAGAGCTCAGGGAAAACGTCATCACGTGTCACAGCCCGCTTCTGTACAACACAAGGCCAAGCTGCAACACCTCCACCATTGCCTGCTTCTTTGTTTTGCATTAGCAACAGCCCAGGCTGAAAGAAAGCAGGGTAACAGCTGGTTATCCGACAGGCTGCATCTACAGGGCCCTAACCGCTATAAAGGGGCTAATGGACAAGTGTACGAAGAGCTAGGGTTCAGTGCCAGCAAGTTACAAGAGACAGGAAAGAGACTGGAGCCCTGGTGTATTTTTATTACAGCCCCAGCCTAGATTTTGTCACACACAAGTGGATGGACGTGAGGGAAGTATCTGTTTCACAGGATTTAAGTGGGGTTAATACTATGTTCCGGCCCCTCAACCTTCTGTGCCCCCCTTTAAAGCCTGGGGCAACACCAAGAGCAGGGAGAGAGCTGAAGATGTGGCGGTTTCTAAAACCAGCCAACTCAAACAGCCACATCAATAACAGGCAGCGAGCGGACGGCAGGCCTGTGTACGATGAACGTTTCCCCAGGACTCCCGGGAGACTAAAGCACGGTACTCCGTCCTTGGTCTTCGCTGACAGGAAGTGGGGGATTTTACAGCTAGTAACTGAGGCAAGATAATTATCTTGCTGTAAAATCTGAAGCGGAGACCAGGCACTGATAGCCACAAGGTAGCCGGGGAGGCCAACGCTATACTCGCCCCCGGGGTTCACCTCGCAGTAAATGAAAGTTCCTCCTCCCCACTAGGTTTTGCCAGCGGGAGAGCACGGCAAACACCCCTGTTTTTATTGGAGAGGACACAGCCCCGGTTTGGAAGGGCGTGTGCCAGAGGTTCATTTCTCCAGCTACTGGAGACAAAGGCACCGATCCCTTGGACTCTAACCTGCTGACAGCCCCATGACCAAATGACCTCCCCTAGCAGTATGGGGCAGCAGTTTAACTGCTGCCCGCAGAGCTGCATTCAGGCCATGCCAGAGAGCATTTACCCTATCGCTGCATCTCTCAGATTCCTCACCTCGGTCAGGTGACAGGTTAACCCGTTTGGCTGGAGGAGAGCCTTGTCTGTCTTTGTCTGCTGGCTCGTATCTCTTCCTGCTTCCTTTGTCAGCCGCCTGAAATGGAAGGAAACAGATGATAGATCCGGATACATATATATCCCTTAGGGAGGAAACTGAGGTAGCTAGGCACTTTTCCTTTGTTGTGGGCATCACAAGGCTCCCGACACACACTGCCCCAGTACTTAAGGAGGTTTCCTTGAAGCAGGCTGGTAAACTGCCTCCCCACGTACTTGAACAGCAAAGTGATCCCTTGGAGTCACGTGCCATTACAATGAACAGGAACAGCTCTTAGAGGTCAGACTGCGTTTCTGCTAACGGGGCATTTTACATCCAACTGCGGGAAGAAAAAAGCTGCATTTTGTCCAGTCTCTTTTGGCTTGGCTCAGGATGATGACACGAGTATTAACAAGATCTACGGGGCCATGTTTCTCTCTAGGACATGCCCCAACACAAGGGAGGGGGAGTCTACCACCACATTATGTGATGCTGCAGGGTCTGTGTAACATTTAGTAAGTCATTTATCGTGTCCCCTTCACCAGAGAGGAGCCTAGCTTGCTTAGCGAGCTAGCTGTCGGAATCCCATCACACACAACACTCCTCACTGCAGTTGAGGGAGGAGAAGTAGAGGGAATGTTGCAAGCAGAATTCAGGATAGTAGAAAATGACCACTCCAATTGAAGTTATCCAGCACTTGGGCTACCTCCTCCAGCATGAAGCACCATGAGGATGAACCACCACATGTGGTCGGGATCTTGACCGTGCTTCTCAGCCAAAGGACGGCTACCTCTAGGAGCACATTTTCTCCGAACGGCATGCTGGGGTATCAAGCCCAGCACTAACTAGGAGGGAGTCACACCTAATGAGCCACCAACTCCACCTTCTGCAACCCCCAGGACAGTCCTTTGGAGTCTCCACATTCATGCACTGACCCATTTTAATCCCTTTCGGGGATCACTTTTAGAGCCAGCCAGGCTAAGGAGAGCTCATTCCCAAGGCAGACTCAGCACCCTTAGGCAACAAGAGATCATGCTTCCATTTGGCTGCAGGTTGGCGAGGCTCAGACAGAGGCAGGAGAAGTTGCAGTGAAAGACACCACATGCGACCCTGCCTAGCTCAGGAGATCTCACGCTGAGATCTCAGGCCAAGGTGCTATATGGCCACAGGCCTAAAGAATGTGGCTCAGGGAAAGCGGGCAACAGCCCCTGATGGGGTAGGAGGAATGTGCCCCAGGGAAGCTTCTGACACAGCCAGAAGTCAAGACATCGTGTACGCTGCCCAACAGGTTCTGTCATTTGCCCGCTTTCCATAATCAGGAGAACTTCAGAAGCAATTGCAGACATACCCAGCAGAGCTCTCCTCAGCAAGAGGGCAGCAAACTCTCCTCCACAGGCCAGAGAGCCAGCAATGGTCCCTTCCTCCCCCGGCTCTGAAAAGCCCACCGAGAGCAGTCACCCCACCTCTCACCTTATTCAACAGCGTCAGTTTGATCTCTTTGTGGGCACTGAAGCCCCCTTGCTGAGGCTGGGGCAGCGGGGGCTGCTGGGGTGGGAGCAGCTGCTGCGATTTACTCGCTTGTGTGGGTTTTGTTGATTTCAGGGGCTGGGCAGGCACCTCCCGTTTCCGTTTCTCCTCTTTAACACTGTCTTCTTTTTTCGATTTTCCTGCTGAAACCAGAATCCCAGTGTCAGCGATGCGCAATAAATCTTGCCCTGCCTTTTAAAAAAAGGCTCAAAGGATGGAAGGCGCTGCAGGGACCCATTCTGGTTAGCAAAGCCGACGGCGCCCAGATTAAAACCGGTAGGAAGCCAGAATTCCCCAGGGGAGAATAGTTAACATATCAGCAGACAAGGAATGAGAAGCTCTTGCATCAGACTGTGATGGGGTCTCGAACGAGCAAATGGGGAGTTTGAGAGGAAACAACAGTCCCCCAGGAAGAGAGAGCTGCACTGGCTCGTCATCTCAGGAGGGTGAGAGTGAAAACAGGATGGGCAACGGCAGGATGATGGGGGAGCGTGCACCAAAGCACACACAGGGTTCGTGAGGAAGGGAAGACCCCTTCTCAGACAGGTAGCCGAGCAGACATGGACAGCGGCACAGAAATGATGCATAAGTATTCCTGTTCAAGCTCGTCACCTCTGCCTTCTCAGCACTCGTCCAGGGTGAAGCCTTTGGACTCTCCCAGTCTATATCAAACCAGAGTTGCTCCCCACACTTTTATCTACCTCCGTGTAATGGGTTCCATGCTGTTTGCATATCACCAAGTGAGCTCTCTGCAGATCTTGCCCCACCCCGTTCCCTCATTCTCAGGATACCTCTACCTTTCTTCTGCTGGGCTGGGGTCAGGGATCGGGAACTGGCTGAGGACACTGGACTGGCCAGGTCAGCGTACATGTCTTCTGAGTCCGCACTGCGTATGGAACTGCTACTGGAGGAGGCACTAGAGACAGAGGAGACACTGCTCACGCTCAGGGACCTGGAAAACAGACACACACACACACTCACAATCTCTGGCAGCGGAGAACACCGCGAGGCTGTCTAGAATTCACACAAGCGCCTTCTCCCTAACTCCCACACCACACCGGAGGAGCTGTCACAAGGGCTGCAAAGGGGAGTGGTACTCATGACGAGATGAGAAGGTTGTCTGCATCTCCTGAGGCAGGGATGACATCACCCCCTCAAATGCGTTGTCAGATGCAAGACGACAAAAACTTTCAATGTAATATTATACTCAGACAGTTATACAGCTTATTCATCCATCGATATCAATAAAGCAAGAACTAGGGTGAGCCCTGGACTACACGTTTCAGTGATACTGTTCAGGTCAAGAGTTTCCCCATATCATTCATGCTGCCTGATATACAAGTTGCCTGATACTTATTTACCAAGGAAGCTTTAAAAGACATGGATTCTCCAAGCCAGGGGTTCAAGAACTACATCCCAGAGGACACCAAGTTCCCTTTTTGAAGCACCACAAGACCACAGAGATGGGAAGAACAGCACAGGGGAGGTGGTATTGCTGAGGAGAAGTTGGCCCACAAGATGGATGCTGTGTGATGACATGTTCCGCACAATTAAAATGCTGGAGAACTACTACTGTATTTTTTTGATGCAGACTTTGTACTTTGCACTGGACCAGATAAAGATAAGATAGATCAAAGGTTTGGTGATAGGGATTATCACAGGAAAATTCAGGGGAGGGCACCAGGGCTGCCCAGAGGATTCAGGGGACCTGGGATAAAGCAATTTCGGGGGCCCCTTCTATAAAAAAAAGTTGCAATACTAAAGAATACTATATTCTCGTAGGGGCCCCTGAGGTGCCCAGGTCCTGGGACAAATTGCCCCACTTGCCCCTCTTCCACGCCCCTGGGTGGCCATGGAGGGCACATCACTTTAAAACAAATCACAAGCTCACAACTCAACAGTACCATGACAGAAGTGAGCTGTTAGAGGCGGCAGTGATGACCTGGTAACCCAGGGATAGAATTTCATCTCCAAAGGAGGGTGTAGCTACAGAATTGTGTCAGCAGTCTGCTTTCATTCAGTACATTATTTCCTATGTTCAAAAAGTGCTTTGGTCCTGGAGTATCAGTGGGCAGAGTGCTCTGACCGTGCCATGCACACAAAGTTTTCACACTGCTGGGTAAAGCAGCACGGTAGTAAATATTAAGCCAGCTCTGTTTATGTTTCAGCAGGAATACCAGCACTCACTGTCCATCTCTGCCTTCACACCCTATCTGGGCTGTCTACAGGAAGCGGCACGAGGCAGGGACCTTACTTGCAAATACCTGTAAAGCAGCAGGCTCATCACTTGGTGCTGTGTAAGTAAGTAGACATTTGAAATCCTAAACATAAACTTTACCGTGGGTTGAGTTAAAAAGAGAGCACCTGAGAGGCAGACTCACCCCTAGCCTCTCACATCAGCCTCTGGAGGGTCTAATGAATCAAACATTTAATAAACATGCTTAAATTCCTGGGGGGGAAAAATGTAGCCATTCAACCTTGTGGCTCTGCAGTGTACAGAGGTGTGAATCGGCTCTGATTTGAATCACATTCTGTTCCATTCTATAAAGGTTCACACACCACACCCATCATACTACCCAAGGGCTTAAGAAGTTTAGATAGAAAAAAAAATGGTGCAGCTGCTTACAGGGTTTCAGAAAGACTCTTGTGTATGAACAGGCTTCACAAGTTAATCTAAATATGCTTTTGAAGGGGATTCATTTCAGGACTATCAGAATTTGTTAGTCACTGGGCTTTGTAGGGAGCGAACAGACACAGCACTCCCCTTCGCTTCAAAGAATTGAATGGTGTCTTGGGGTGAAATGCGTAACGGGAACCATTCTTGCAACCTTATTTGCCATTCACAGCGCAAACCACCACCACTAGACAGATCTATTAGATGTTTTCTGATCAAGCAGTGTTGACATGCCAGGCATCAACCCTAAAGAGATCCAACAGTGAGATTTAGAGAAAAGTTTAGAACAGCAGCATTGTGTAACATGAATGCCTATTACCTTAGAAAAAGAAACACCCTGGAATTTTTATTTACAACAGCAAGGTAAATGTTCAATTAAGATTTGAAAACAGGGAGAGAAGAGGCTGCAGCCCCACGGTAGAGTGAAAATGGATAATTCAGGGCACATTGACGATAATTTCATTCTTTCCTAGAATAAGCAACATGGCAGCTGTTAACATTATTTTCATTTTTCAAAATTTAAGACTCATTTATATACTCCGAGCAAATTAATCTACATTGCAGGCAACCACCTTACAAGCAGGTGCATGCAGCACAAGGAAAAACCCTCAAACGTGTCAAGTACAACACTTACACATAATCTGAGTCTGTCAACCTTGATGATAAAGTGTGAAACACAGTGCTTTACCTGGATTTTCTGGACCCAGATGGGGAGGGGGAAACTGAGGCAGACGTTGATCGGGAATGAGATCTGGAGAGAGACCGAGACAAGGACCTAGATCGGGAACTGGAGCCGCTATAGCTGCTGGCACTGCCACTGATGCTGCCACTTATAGTCCGCCTGCAACACAGATCAAAAGACCCCATTCTCATCTGATTCGACTCAGCAATAAAGCAGGGCTGCTTTTTGTGCATTTGATCAATGGTGAGCAAGAGGCTTCCAATGCAGTTATTTGCAAACATTGACTGACAGTAGATCATACAGCAGAGAACTCTGTTTTGTCAATCAAACAGATTTCCCTGTCCTGGCCACACATCCCCACTTCTGAACAGCAGATATTTCGTGAAAGACTGAATGATGCTGGTTAGAGCCGGACCCAGAACAGCACCTCTGTCCTGTCCTATTGCATCAGTAGCGAATGTTTCCTAAAAACAAAGGTGTAAAGTGCACAAGATTGTGGGGCTGGCTTGTAGCGTGAACTCTAGAAATATCAAACTCATCTCTCATTACTTAAAGTTTGGGGTGATGAGCTAAATGGAACCGATCTTCTAAATTATCACATTAGGGACAGTTTATTTCCTTTTCCTTCTGCGAACACTGACACCCATAACAGTCACGTAAGGGATCACGCAGTGTCTAACGACTCCTAAGAGTAACCGGGTCCAATAACCCACTTTTCTAAGGGGAGAGGAATCCTAGCAACCAATCGTCAGGTTTAGAGACAGAAGTAACTCAACCCTTCCAGTACTGTTCTCGTGTCACTATGGAGGAACAAGGGGAACAGCTCCATTCAAAGCTAAGAATTGCCCGGGAAGCTTGTAATTGAAAGGAAAATAGAATTAGGGCATAGGACTTTATTTTTATTGATTTAAAACACCAGGATCTAAGAAAACTATTGTTTGCCCTCAAAGGACACATCGATTTTGCTAGGTCTGAGGAAAGTTCCACATTTTTGAAGTCACATTTTCTTCTGGGTTGGCGCAGTAGAAATCTTCTCTTGAAGCTATTAAGCATCTGGTGCAGGCCAATACCCAACTCCGCAGCCCTGAGTCCTTCCCTCCCTTTACTTCATTATGGAACATGACCCTCTAGATTCAACATAGGTCTGAGCTTCTGTTGCTTCCTCAATGGCTGGACTAACCAATCAGCTGCTCTACAATGTGTGTTTTCCCTATGAGAGTTTCCTGTTGGTGCGATTCAAGGATTCCACCTGCTGCCCTCATTCAACAGGTCTCGAGAGAGATCAGCCTGGGTTTTTTATTGCACACAAGTAATACGTTCTGCTCCTTTTCCGATTCCCCTGCTATCCCAGGGAACAGATTTCTCCTTTAAGTCAGAGTGAGTTCTTGGTTAATTCCTCAATTAGCAATTACCCGGCTCTTCATTTGTACGCATGATCAAATCCCTCTGCCCAGGTTCTCCTACCTCCTGGGTGGAGTCCTCGTTTGACGTTCCTTCCTTCTTGCCTCTCGATTATCCACTGGTTTGGCTGGCTCTGGTGCAGCTGTTGCAACTTTAGTCAATGGTGGTGGGACTGGAAGGGCAGCTACTTTCTTCACAGACTTCTCACTGCAAAGTTAAAATGGAGTTTTGATACTCTCGCGTATGATCAAACACCACGGGCATGTAACACGGGGATTTTCAGAAGCAACATATTTCCCACTACTGAAACATTATACAATTCCTGTTACTATGGCCTTTTGGAAAAGTCAACGTAGACCATATTTCACAGAAATATTCTGACACTACAAAGCCCCTTAACGAGGGCAGTTTATTGCATTCTAATATGAAAGATTTTTTAAAGAGATCAACTATTATATAAACAGTGTTATGGTGACAACCTACTCCAGCCGTTTACAGTCCACAAGTTCCCCTTGGAATTAGTTACTTATGATACGCAGATATCTGAAACAAACATCTCCTTACAAGTTTTGGGTCAGACTTTAAAGTTAGACACACAGAACTAACTTGTGTGCAAATAACTGATTCACTTACCTGTAGTGGACGTTTGCATGCGAAGGTTGGTGCAAATGCATGCATCCATTTGTGCATGCCTCATTTTGAAACTCTGACCCTAGACTTTTAGTCTTGCATTTTACAGCGTGCAGTGGTATATTACCACAAAAAAATAGTATATTTGTGCGTCGCCTTTAAGCTTTTATACTGACCATACCAAATAGGAAAGGGGTCATTTCAGCACATTTCCAGCATTACTCTTCTTCAGACCCATAATCACTTACATCATAGTTGATTATGGTCCAGCATTCACTCTGATAGTGATGTCACACTTATTATTAACCGGGGTGGAGCGGGCTGGCTGCAAAGGCTGTTAGTTTCCCTTTTTGCTACCTATTTCCTATTCTTATTTTATAACCTGCAGAACACAAATATTAAATATGTGCCATGTTCCACAGGGAAAAGAAAAGGTGCCATTTTAGGCAGCTGGAGGGTTGCAATGCTGTTCAGCAGAAGATGCAATATTACCAGGGACCCAATCCATAGAAGGCACGTCATGGGCTCAGGAAAGTGAGGAAATACTGAATTAGAAATGGGCTGAAGTAGTCATGTGCCCTGCTGGAGCATTCAGCCCGACCTCCAAGTTGTAACTTTTGGAAAAATTTCCATGTCACCTTTAAAAACAATGACCTTAGTATACAGCAGAGAAACATTCCCCAGGATAACCACGTGTACTATGTTAGTGTGACAGAAGTGTGTGAAATCTGAAATATAGGCCTATTAAAAAAAGAGCACAAGGGGTGACATAAGCTACTAAACAAATATTTAAGTTTACATATCTATTGTGCTTGTGTTAATTCATGCTCAACATTGCAAAACAGACGCACCTTAATTGTATACAGCTATATTTCCTCTCGCTAGTTTAATGATATGTAAAATACACACTAGCTTTAGTCACATGCTTTGTATCATGGAAACCTTTCTACAAGAGTGTCATTCAGATTTCGCAAAAAGAACAGGAGTACTTGTGGCACCTTAGAGACTGTACACACCCAATTTACAAATCAGTGTGTGTACATATGTACCATTTACATATACCCATATGCGTAGCTTGTGTACATGAACTATTAATACAGTTGAGGGACTGCCATTTTTGCAACTCTACCCCTATGAGATAATTAAGAGAACACAATTAATCAAAGACTTAAACACAAGTGTCAATCGGTACAAACAACATTCTGTATTGACATTTTTCAGTAGGGTGGTTGATCAGAAAGATCAGAATCATATCCCGGGACCCTTTAAGGCTTTCCTACACCATCTCTTCCAAGTAGACAAGAAGTCTTACCCTTTTCCAGCAGGTGGTGCAGGCTCCCCTTTAGCTTTCACAAGCGCTTTGTGTGGAGATGGTGTTGGGGAAGGAGAAGGGGAAGAGGAGAAGGATCGCGACCTGGACAGTTAAAAAAAAAAAAGAAAAAAACAACAACAGATGAGCTCTGGGAGGAAGAGAAGGGGTACATCATTCAACTCAGTCCCTGGGATCACAGAAAGGTTCTCTCACTTGTGGTCTCCAGGCCTTTCAGGTGTGTGGAGTACCCTCTTCTTATTTGTACCTTCTCCGTCCGTGGGTTAGGCGGCTGTATTGCACTGGCTACTTCTAGTGGGACTAAACTTGTTCTCTTAGTGTCATACCTGCCCTCCGCTCTAGATGCCAATATGGGAGATAGGAATTCTGAGGGAAAACTGGATGTTAGCCAGAAAGTGACTAGCTCTAAGCTATTCCATATTAATGTTTGGGTCCAAGCCCTCTATACTCCATTACAGGCTTCAGGTCCACAGGCAGGTACACCAAATGGTTTTTTATTAAGAGAGAAACTAGAGACTAGATCATGCTTGCAAGTGTGAATTCTATTTCAAGTCCTACGTATTCCTGCTCTGGCCCAGACACTCCAAATGCAATCTACAGTCACTTAGATAGGAGCAAAAAGACTTTGGGAAAAAATGGGATGGATCAAGCACTTGCAATTTCCTGAAATGTTAGGGGAACAATCAAGCAGAGTATATCAAAGCCAAGAGAGCCAAGGGCAGAAGTTATTTCCTGGACTGGCACTGACAGAGTCAAGTGACTTGCTGGTCCCATGGGGTGCTATAACTGACAATGATTGCAGCTGAGAAATAAGTCACCTTACTACCAGGATTGAAAGTCTCTTGCAGCCTAACACTTCCCAGGGCCAGAAGACTAGTTTGTTTACACAACTTTTTCTTCAGATACCAAATGATCTTGGGAATATAGCTGGGAGTTTCATCACTTCCTCGCGCAGTAGCTAGCAGCAGCCACGCTAAATGCGTCAGACTGATTGGTACCGTACAGGATTGCAGTGTTCTGCAACAAACAGAGGGTGAAGCACAGGGGAGGAAAGTGTACAGTCAATTCCCCTTTCCTCCCGTTCTCCTATAAGTGCTTGCGTCTATAGAGCAATTCCTTAATTGGGCGAAGAAGCTGGCTCAAATAACATACTGCACACTTGTATTTTCAGTTCACTCCACTCTGAGGTTACATACGATTTCAACCCTAAAGACGTGCCCAGGATGGGAGCAATTCCTCCTCCTATTTTCATTTCTGATTTGGGGAACTATCCTCGCCCAGTTTAGGCGAGTGGCAAACTAATAAATATGCCGGCATTCTAACAGCACTAAGGCACAGAAGTGTCATTTCAAAATATCAAAACATCTTTAAGACGAAGTTGCACAGGCTGGTTCCTGTCAAAGACATTAATTCCTCCTCTTTAAAGGGAAATTCCAGTGCAGGATGAAAGAGAATAATAATAATAATAATACCACCACCTAGCTCTGATATAGCACTTTTTATCAGTAGATTGCAATGCATTTCACAGTCTTTAATGTATTCCTCCTCATAACACCCCTGTAAAGAGCTAATCATTGAAAAACTCAGGGGCGTGATTTTCTAAGCCAGGCATATGCAACTGCACAATTACCACCACTGGACCGGAAAACCAGATATTTGCATGCACAAATGTACTGACAGACATAACTGGCCATCTGAGTGCACAAATACCTAATCACAGATGCAACCCCAGCAACTGTGTGTGTGCACTATGGGTGTACAGTTGCAAACCCACAGTGCAGAAGAGGCAGGCTTTTAAACAGCAAATAAAAAAAATAGTACCCTTATATGATGCAGAGTAGGGTTAAATCAGCTTCTCTATTTAAAAACAGTGGGGGGGGAAACAGATTTTAAAAATGGTTTATTGTCACCATCATATAAAAAGTTGGTTAATTTAAACAGTAACTAAACCAACTAACATTAAAAAGTTATAGCGGAATCTAGTTAACAACTTTGCAAGACTTTCATTTCCATGTCTTTTAAACAGTGAAAATGATTCTTTCAGACCTACTGTGTATGAAGGGGAGGTATAGAAAGTATCAGTGGGAAAGAAGCAATAAACAGCAGCGTCCACAGAGAGAACACCAGGCCCATCCACTGAATGGAGCTATTTGGTGAGAAAATTTTAAACACTGTTTTGAAATACAGGCAGCACATGTCTGTAATTATTCCAGTATTTTAGTTCCCAGTAATATCTTTATATTCTGAGCTTGCTGTTTAAGATCATCATTGGTTTGACCATTTTTGTTTCAGATACTGGTTTTGTATCTGCTTTTAATACCTGAGTAACACAAAGAAAATATTTTAAAACTAAGCACCCTATTTATTGATTTTGGAGAGTAGAGGAAAGTTGCAGCTGTTGCATTAGAAGCCAGAGAAACAGTACCTGGATCTGCTGCCTGAGAAAGAACTGTGTCTGGAAGAGTGACTAGAGTAGGAGCTGTAGGAAGAGGATCTGGAACGAGACCGTGAAGAACCAGAACCAGAATAGGAGGATGAGCGAGAAGACGACCTGGAAGAAAAAGAACAACAACTCATTTTGGGGAAAACACATTTCTCATTTTCAGTGCTTAGTTTCAGGGACTCTCCTGAACATCATTCAAACCTCCCATCCCCATCTTCAAGACCAATCCAGGGGCATATTACCCTATAGATCTATAATCTCTCTCCCTGCACCCCACACCCCTCATTTCCTCCTTCGATGGAGAGCTCTCTTGCCACCACACCAGCCATCTGGAACAGGCTGACCACCTTCCTCTGCCTGTGTGACTCTCCATCCCTTTTTGGGAAAAGGCAGCTCAGAATCCAGTTCTTCTATATGGTCTTCAACCATGTCACCACCAGCTTGTTCCCCGGTGGGCCAGGATGGCCTGACCACTGTTGATCTGAGTGGGGGGAGGAATCCAGAGAACGCAGCAGTTCTTAAGACAAAGGTATGTTGGGATTTATCTTACCAGCGTTTTATCCCCGTTTCAGACCCAAATCGTACTGGTTTGGCGTGCTTTGTGGATCTCAAGGGCGCCTGAGGTCCTTTTTCTTTTTGGGAACCCAAAGTTCAGTCTTTAAAGGGAGGCAGGCTCAAGCCTGTGCCCAAACTCTCCCTGATTCAGTACCTGCTTTCTATGGGGCTGTTCTGTCCTCTACGGCTCTGTTCGACCCTGCTCCTGGGCTCTACAGTCTCCATGCTCCCAGCTTTTACCAGACTCTCCTTCAGCCGTGCGAGCACGCCCTTCCTATCGCCAACCCTCCCGCTGCTACCCCTGGAGTGAGCTAGGTCTGATTTATATGGGCCACAGACCTCACCCTCCAGGAACCTTTGCAAGGATCAGTGATTAGAGCCAGCTGAACCTCATTCAAGTTCTAATTTCCTGGGGTAGTCCACTACCTACAGCTGCTTCTTGGAAGACTTCCTCTTGCTCCCAATGACAGTTCACTGTCGCAACCCACTAAGCTGTAACTAGGGTGACCAGATGTCCCGATTTTATAGGGACAGTCCCGATTTTGGGGTCTTTTTCTTATATAGGCTCCTATTACCCCCCACCCCCTGTCCTATCTGGTCACCCTAGCTGTAACCCATATGTCCCACACCAGCATTTACAATTACCAGTGCTCCAAGCCTCTTCTGTTACCACCTGCTTGTACCCCATTCCTACTGCTATACAGGTCTAGGATGGTACATGGGAATATTAAATTGTGCTCTAACAGACCAGCAAGACTCGTAAGTGCCTGTTGAAATGGCTGCTATATTGGAAGGTAATCATATCACAGGGATAATCCAAGGGAGGCTCACGTGTTAGCTCTCCCTCCGTCTCCCCTGCTTCCATTTACCTGGAAGAACCAGAGGCAGATGCCGATGACGCAGAGGTTTTCCGGCGTCTGCGCGCACGGCTGGGAGAGGCAGACATTCCAAGTTTCTTCTTAGGTGACTTGGATCGGCGCCAGGGGTCCTTCCATTCATCTGCTCTCTTGGACTGAGAGCCGGTGGTTGTAGTTGTCTCCTTTTCCTTCTTTGGTGGCTCAGGCTGACGGCTGGAAAATACACATGTTTTTAACTACCTGGGATTCTCCCGCATGTATAAATATCTTCCAAGTGGGAATACAACGTAAAACTTGATGGCAGGGGAGACATTCATTTCTCATGTTCATCTGTTTCACGGCTGCAGCCCCAGGCTCAGTCCGACAGGACTTTTGTACAGCAATTACACAGAACGCGGCTCATTTAGGACAGGTATGCAGAGCAGTATTGGGCTTTTGTTCCATCCCTCCATATAGCATTACTGTCCATTTCCAATGCCACTCTTTGATATACGCTATTTAATGCAAGGTGAGTGGTGGACATGGTGATAAACCATGACTTGACCTAGGTTTTCACACTGCGTCCATCACCATATCTGAGCATCTGACCGTGACCCTCTGCATTTATTCCTGAGACTTTGCTGACCACTGCCGGGCCTGTTATTTGTATTTTGATAGCCCTGGCTGGTTGCCATTTTGTTAGGTCTAGTACAGATGCATAATATGAGTCCATCCTTGCTCCAAAGAGCTTACAATCTAAACCAACAAATCAGAGGACAGAAGGAAGGAGGCATTATCCTCTTTTTACAGATGGGAAATAGAGGCACAAAGGGCATGGCTACGCTGCAATTAAAATCCTGCGGCTGGCCCGTGCCGGCTGCCTTGGGCTGACGGAGCTCAGGCTACAGGGCTGTTTAATTGCAGTGTAGACGTCCGGGCTCAGGCAGGAGCCCAGGCTCTAGGACCTACGAGGTGGGAGGGTCCCAGAGTTCTGGCTGCAGCCCGAATGGAACTAAACAGTCCCGCAGTCCGAGTCGGCTGGCATGGGCCAGCCGTGGCTGTCTAACTGCAGTGTAGACATACCTAAAGTGACTTGCCCCAGGTGAAGTCTGTTGGCCCGGTTGTCTCCCAGGTGGCTTGGGGAGAGAGCAAGGTGATGCTGGTTGTGTGCAATCTCTGGTGGAAGATCTACCACTTCATAACTGAATTTAGTCTACCGAGAATCTTATTTTAAACTGTCCAAGGACTGCTATGTCTCAGAGGCCAAGGTGCCAAGATTACCGAAGATCTCAACTCAAGGGTGTTTCACCCTTCTACAGCAGTCTAACCCCCACTCTCAAGAGCTTTTTGAAAGAAACCGCCCACCAAATTCTCAAAAGACACAAAGTCACTGACTCCAGGTTCTGCTTCATCAGAGTCAGCACAGCCGCCACACTACACACTGAGCACGAGCTTGGACTGAGTACGCCCAAGAAAGCATAACCTATTGCCTAGATTGATACAGTGCTTTCTCCCTGCTTACACTTCCTGGAGAGGGTTTTGCCTAGGAAAAAAATAAATCACAACAGGAAGCCTGGTTTCTGCGTATGCTTCAGTTATTGACTCAGCAGTGAGCATACAACCAGGCGAATGCCAAGGGGGAAATGATGCTTCTGTGAGGGCATTTCCATGGCTAGTCTTTCCTCAAGAGACACCTGCTTACTCAACATATAGCAACACCCGGCAAACTGGTTCAATTCTCTACCATCAACTAGTCGTGGCTCTGGTCCAGTTAATATCCTGCAGGGATATCTGACAGCCAGCATTCAAAACTGTGCTAACGGGCTACAAAAACTCTTACCAGACTATGGACACTCCTGTTTCTCAGGTCTACTTCAGCCCACGCTTGTTCAACAGCTACATCTCAACTACCAACCCGGCCTTTCCTTAAATGGAAGCCGTTCCTGTTATTGAGGCTGGTAGCCCATGTGACCTACCCTGCTGTGTTTTCAAGTGGATTTACATACATGCAAGACGCCATGTAGTCCATGGTGTTGTTGGCATGTAGGCAGTGAAGAGAAATAAAAGAAGCCAGCTCTTAGCTGCTTCAAGAGGGTTTCTGACTCATCTCAGACTGCTGCTGGCACGTGATGTGAAGAAAGATGGTCACAGCAGGGAAAGACTCCAGGTGCAGTGACTGGTGAATGGAGAGAAAGCAATCAGAGACAGGGTAGCTTGCACGGGATTTTAGACATATTTGATCTAAGCTTCAGAGTGTCTTGCAGCTTTATGCCTCACAGGGCACAGAGATACCACACGGAACGTGAACTACATGTCTGCTTGCAATAAAGTAGTCAGCATGAACCTTGACCATGCACTCTGATAGTAACTCCTCTCTCCAGGATACCACCTGCAGAAGGTGCTCTGTGTCTATGAACTAGCTCTGTATCCTAAACATGGGGACATTCATGTGTTCACTCCTGACACAACCAGCATGGCAATGCTGCTGTTCCACTATCAAAAGACTTTCATGATTAGGTTTGTTCCGCTCCACTGGAAATCTGTGGGCTAACTATTAACGCTCCGTCTTGCTGCTTTGCTGCTGGGGATAGGGTGAAAGACAATGGAGGATGGCTCATACGTCTCATTAAGCCATAATTCAGTTAACCAATTTATCAACCTGTGGATTTCTTCAGATTAGCCCTATTCAAAATGAAAAGCGCCTGGAAAGCGGAATGTACTTCATTTGCACGTACAGAGCATGGAGCTCAATGCCGTAAAGGAGCTCCTCTACAGGATCTTTCGGTTTGTAGTACTTAATAAAACAGGATTTCTTCATCAATATCAACGTTCCAAAAAATCTATTCTCCCCCTACCGAAGTGAGGCGGAAGGCAGAGGTTGCTTAGAAGCACACAGCCAAGTGCCAGGACAACAACTCCGTTGAAGAAGTCTGTCCAACTGATGCTGCACCAGGTTATTAAGGAACCAGAACATAATTAATCAAATTGGAATTTGGCCAGGACGTACGAGGACAAACCCTTCTTTTGCAAAAAAGCGTTCTGAAATCTGGAGTGACCGCAAGTAGCGAGGGCCGCAATTTTCTACCTGATCCGAAATATGAAACCTCTAAGTAAAGAAGCACCCTGGGAAGCCTCAATGTACAGACGAGAAGGCCCCCTCATTCTTTTTGAGTAAGGAATTGACTTCTGGTAGATTGTTATCAGGCACTCCAACCAATGTAAGAGTGCTTATACAAGGCGGCTGCTCAAATTTAACGGCATCAATTTCTAAACGGAGTTAAATTAGGACAGCTGTCCAGGGAAGACAAGGCCTGAAAAACAGGTGAACCTAAATCAGACAAGGTGGGGGAAATAATATCTTTTTTTTGGTGGTGAGCGACAAGCTTTCGAGCGTACATAGAGCTCGTCTTCGAGTCTTGGCCCTGGTCTATAGTGCAAACTTAGGTGGGTCTAACTACATCGCTCGGGGCTAGCCTACATTTACAGTGCTGCAGGGATGCAGCTGCCCTGCTGTAGCGCGGAATGAAGATGCGATCTACACCAATGGGAGACGTTCTCTTGTTGGCGTAGGGACACCACCTCCCTGAGAGGTGGTAGCTGTGTTGACGGGAAAAGCCCTCCCATGGACATAGCACTTTCTACACCAGGGGTTAGGTTGCCATAACTACATCGCTCAGGGTGTGGATTTTCCATGCCCCTGAGCGAGGTAGTTATACTGACATAAGTTGGTAGCGTAAACCAAGCCTCGGGGGTGATATGGTGTTTGTGTCTTATTTTTCAGTCCGAGTTCAATTGAGTGCATAGTGACTGTCTGGTTTCACCCACCTAGTTGCTATTGGGGCATTTAGTGCATTGGATGAGGTACACCACAAGTTGGGATAGGTATGTGCAGGACTCACAGATCTTGAAAGGTGTTGTGTGTGTGTGTGTGTGTGTGTGTGTGTGTGTGTGTGTGTGTGTGTGTGTGTGTGTGTGTGTGTGTGTGTG